GAACCCTTCCATTAGCAACTGCGTTCTGTAGTGACCTAGAGCAATCCCTTGTCGTCTTGCCTCAACCCGATCGTTCGTATGTTGTTGTATCTCTGGACGGCTGATGTCGTCTTTGATTGCTGCTTTAAGTGAGCTAATTGCTATTCTCCGACGCAGCCGCTATTATGGAAGCAGTTACCTGAGTTTTTTATATGTTTTAAAGTGATTAAAAAAAATCGCTAATGATTGTTTTATTTCTCTTATTGTTCATTCGAATCATACAAATGTTTGTTGAACCACGCTATAGAATATAACGTTGACYCTCATGATTGTCCAAACGCGTTATAGATTGTCAATGGTTATGCTAATAGCACTAATGAATTTTCACTTTTGGGTAAATGATTGTCCATAAATGCTATTGTTTGTCATTTGGTGTTAGTTGAAGTTGAATTTCGCGCAAACGAAAATAAATTCCGCGCATATGAATGTACAAACGCGCTATTGATTGTCCATTGATGCCTATGAATGTACACGCATATTCAATTGTCTTTATTGAAAGTTGATCCACGCTAATGATGTTACTTGTGGTGTTGATGAAAGTACATTACACGTTATTGATACAACTATTGGCACAAATGAATGTACATTTTCTGTTAATGAACAGCAAAAGGTGTAGTATTGGATGAGGTTGAGTATGATATACATTGTAATAAATTCATCAATACAAGGCAAGCTTGTTATTTGCCCAACACTTATCGTGCAGGAATCTAATTGAATAATGATGATAAGAATAAGAATAATATTGATGATAATAATAATCAAATAATAATCAAATAATAATAATAATAATAATGATAATAATAATAATGATGATGATGATGATAATAATAATCAAATAATAATAATAATCAAATAATAATAATAATAATGGGATCAACAGTGGATTCCACAGAGTGGCCCTTCTTCCACTGGATTCCAATTGGAATTTAGAAGTTGATTTTTGCGGACTCGAAACCGGGTCGCACTGGTGAGAGGCGAGCGCAATAATTAGTTTATTATGTATTCTTTTAAACTAAGAATGAAGATTAAATTTTAATTCCGGATTCAAAAAACAAAAACAAAAAAAAAATTTCAATCTCAGTTATGACTTTGAATAAACATGACATGATAAAACGTACAACTAATACATATTTTTATCATGTCACGTTCATACACTACCTGGGATTGGCTTAACCATTGCACGTTATTTTTTTGCGTACAGTTAGATATCTTTCTTCTAGCAGATCAAGAGGTTGCATGACATTTTTTTGAGGTTTAAGTGCTTGCTCGATATTTTTGGGGGGATTTACGCAACCCTCCATCAACTATCTAATGGTCCTTCACTTAGACTAATCGGTTCGACTTAAAGAAAATCGCTCTTAGTAGCAAGAGAATGACAAGTGGTCTGAAATGAAAAAACAAACATTAAGCCCAAGGTAACGAGGTCTATGTTACAGACCTTAGTGTCACATTCTGAAACTTGTCGCAACAGATGAAAGAGGGACGTAAAACTTCCATTGATGAACTAAAACAAGAAAAAGGAACGTAATGAGAAAACAAAGACCGATAATAGCTGTATACCAAAGAACGAACAAATTATGAATAAAACTCGTCCAAAATACATTAATGTTTACTTCAAATAGATCATATTCGAGCTCCAAATAACCGCTGTGTTCCTTGATTACAGACTCATTTCCTCAGGGTTAGCCTCGAATCAGTGTCTCAATATTCACAAATACCAACGGTAAAGTAAAGAATGCACAACTTTAACAATACGAACACTTTGAAATTCCAAGGACCTTCACTGGAACTCATCAATATTCTGGACAAAATCGAGGCTAACCCTGAGCAACAGAGAACTGGAAAATGGAGTATTGTGTTACAAGATGTTGCGTTATTGTACTTACCGGTTCAAAGTCATCGAGATGGAATTCGACGTCATCAACAATTAAGCATAGTTAAGGAGATCAAAGCATTTATATAACGTAAGGGAAGAGCGCGAACTAGTGCGTTGTTAATGCGCTGACTCTCGCCGCTGTGAGAAGAGTAGAGTTGCTTGTTGTTTCTCTTCTATATGCTACGAGAATTTTTCTCAAGGTTTTCTGGTTTTCCTCCCTTCATAAAAATCAACCACGAGGGCACAGGTTTGTTAGCCACTGTGTGCTATTAATGGCTACACTCGTAAAATAAGGATCAATAGTTTATTTATTTTACAATAATATTTAAACAGGATGCTTCTTCACTATAGCGATTTTCAAGAAGATCCTGTAAAAACCAATAATCAAATTATATGTAACAAAATTGTAAAAAATAATGAGACGAAACACAAATTGATATACTGATGGTATAAAAGGATATCAGTCTTCATTGTATTTGCTGCTGTTAGTCGAACCTAAAGATAGTAAAGATTTGAAAGTAATAAGGTAGTGTTCATTTTTAGTTCTTTTTATGTAGTAGTAAATGCTGTTATACCTGAGTTGGTTTGATTGAAATATCATGAATTATAATAATGCTCTTTCTTCCAGCTGGATTTATCCATCCCTTTCTTTTTTTCCTCGTTCCTATTTGATCTTTCCATCAATCAATGGTTCTCATTTATTTCTTCCTTCCTTCCCTTTGCCCTTCCTTTCTTCCCTTTGTCCTTCCTTTCTTCCCTCTGTCCTTCCTTCCTTCCTTCTTCCCTCCCTCCCTCCCTACCTCCCTCACTCCCTCCCTCTTTCTGTCTTTTTTCCTCGTTTTTCTTTTCATTTTCACATGATAACTTTCCTTCGAATGGAAAATACAGCATTTCTGGGCGCAAGTATTGCTCATTAAAAACGCTAATCATTTAACCCCTTCAAAAAAAAACGATAAACGCTTCATTACACAGAAAGGTCTGTGATACGGGACGACTCCAACCAATACTACGCCGTATACACCTCTCTTTAGCTCCAGCATGTTTTCTCATTCCAGACCACATGGCATCCCCTTGATTATCATTTCTTCGTTTAACGGCATGGATACAATCTCGTACCCAGAGCCTGCGTTTCTTCTGGCCTGCGGCGAGGAACGAGGGCTCTGGCATAATCCATTTTTTGAGACCAGGATTTCTCGGACTTCCGTTATAAGAGCGCTTACGTTAAAAGACTTGCCAAAAATAAAAAATATGTTCCCGATCTCTAATTTTAATTTTGATCGGAAATAAACACAGAACTCTGCTTGTAAGCATGATTTTCAAAATTTTAACTTCCCGAAAACTGCGCATGCGTCAAAAAATGGATTATGCCAGAGCCCTCGTTCTTCGCCGCAGGCCAGAAGAAACGCAGGCCAGAAGAAACGCAGGCTCTGGGTACGAGATTGGTATGGATACAATTCAAACAAAGAGGCTTATCCTCAAGGGAATGTCATGTGATCTGAAATGGGAAAACAATGTACTCAAGGTAAAGAAGTCTTTATCCTATACTTACCACCAGATCCTCGTGTTCCTGCATGAGGTAGATAAGTGATTCATATATCAAGGGACGAACTGAAGCAGACATCTTCACGTTGACCCACTGACCAACAAGCCACGGCACACGACGTCGAAGTAATTTTGTTCTATATATCAGAAACAATTATCAACACCTACAAGGTTCTTATTTATATCATTAAAATCAAGAATGGCGCATTCGCCACGATATAACCTCTGGGATACACTGGACTCTGCATCGCATCTGAGTAGAGTTCAGGGTTCGATCTGTGAGTTAGCAGTGCCCTGACTTAGATCAGCCCAGAGGTTGTTTCAGGGTTTGATCTGTGAGTGAGCCATGCCCTGACTTAGATCAGCCCAGAGGTTGTTTCAGGGTTCGATTTGCGAGTGAGCCATGCCCTGACTTAGATTAGTCCAGAGGATTGCTTCAGGGTTCAATCTGCGAGTTAGCCATGCCCTGACTTAGATCAGCCCAGAGGTTGTTTCAGGGTTCTATCTGTGAGTTAGCCATGCCCTGACGTAGATTAGTCCAGAGGATTGCTTCAGGGTTCAATCTGTAAGTAAGCCGTGCCCTGACGTAGATCAGCCCAGAGGTTGTTTCACGGTTCGAAATAATTGACATTTTCTTTGAAGGATCTATTACCTTACATATTACAAAGTTGTTGTCATAGCAACAATTTACCTGGATGACGTCGTATGCATTTCCCTTAAAAGATAGTCTTTGAACCAAGCGTCAAAGTCAACTTCTCCAAATAAGTCATACGACGCCAAGCCAGCTGCAGTGTATACTAGAATGAAATTGGAACTGGTTATTGTAGTGAAACGAAAATGCTGTGAAACATGAAGGACAGGAGAATATAGAAAAGGGGGAAGGAAGAGGAGAGGAGGGGAGAGGAGAGGAGAGGAGAGGAGAGGAGAGAAGAGGAGAGAAGAGAAGAGAAGAGAAGAGAAGGCAATAAAAGACAACAAAACAACATTTATTATCACAATTCTTACTGTTAATCTGAATCTTTACAATAACACTTACCAGCGTCTTTTTGAAGTAAAAAGTTCATGTCTTCAGAATCTGGAGACACTGAAACGATAGAGGTGGTATTACTGTGTCAATAGACCCCTTCACGGTTCCCTGCACCATCTTGAAAGGTAGCCGGGCCTTTGCATCGAAGTGAGATGAACGGTGAGCTTGCAATGGTAGAGACATGTGAATAATTGTCCAAGGTGTTAAAAAAGATCTCTATCATTGCAAGCTCACCGTTCGTCTCGCTTTGATGCAAAGGCACGGCTACCTTTCAAGATGGCGCAGAGAACCGTGAAGGGGACTATTGGTACGGCAGAGATTCTGTAATATTGAATGTGGAATCAAGGACGGTTTAGCAGTCAGTGAACCCAGGTTACCATGGATACCAACCTTGTACCGTATGAATCATGTTGACCACCACTGGTGTGACTATAGTTCTGAACTCTGCAAACAAAGTAAGATACAGGACTTCTGTGCTTGGCTGTAGAAAAAATATATATGAAGGACATTAGATTCCAATTCGATGTTAGGAGATATTCTCTATAGGGTTAATCTCTATTATACACTGAATAGAAATATGGAGACCAATAACTATTGTTCTGTACTGACTAGCCTTGTGTTCACGTGTAAATACAAAACCATGAAAAAGTTAACTAACAAATTTGTACAAATCAGAGCAAAGTTTTGTAGGTCTAAGGTCTACTGAGGTCTACTGAACTTACTAATTTGAGCAAATTTGTGCAACTTCTTACAACGTTTTTTCACGAATATATGGTATGCACTCTATTATTAGAAACCATTTTAGTCACACTTACCCTCAACTGATATCGCCATGATTCCCCAACTTCTTCATTTACTGGAAATATAATAAATAATTGAAAGAAAAATCAATGCGAGATGGGATGGATGTACTTATAGAAACACAAAATGGGCTTACCAAAATCTTCTGGATCTGACTCCCAGTTTTCTAATTCCTTTAAGGAAAGCAAAATTCTCATAAACTTTGTGCTAACGCTAGGAACCTTTCTTATCGGCAAACCATCATTACTGTTGAATAGAGGTTGCTTAAAATATCGTTACAAAAATCACTAAAATTGGTACAGAGTTTCTTTAAGTACGTAGCTTCAAACAAATTCAGAAGGGGTGCCAGTGAATTCCATACAGGGGTGGGGGTAAATTTGTGTTGGATGGGGTGGGTGGGTCAGATGTGCATACAGTCAATTCAAAAAACGTTGTCGTCGACTGGCTCAAGCCTACGCGACTGGACCGAAAGGAATATGGGTAAAAATCACTGAAGCGGTTAAATATTCGTTCTGAATTAATTGTTCCCGCTAGAAATAAGATAATAATGGCGAGAAAGAATCCATCAAATGCATGTCTTCGGGTTTAGGGAAAGAAAAACAAAGTAGTTATGATTCAGTTCACGATTCCGAAAGTATGAAGGCATTTAAAAAACGTCTCCTTCAACACTTCCCGCTCGCCTACGAAGGTTTGTGGTGTAAACCAGGCATAACTAGTCAGATAGAATTATGGAGTCAACTCGGCTTTAATGATTGCTACCCAGAGTTCCTTTCGGTCCAGTCGCGTAGACTTGAGTTGGTTGACGAAAACATTTTTTGAATTGACTGTATGTCTTCTATAGCATTCACGAAATACAACTGAAAATACTGTATTGTCGTCACCATAATCGTCATCACCATCACTACCATCATCATTCATCATCATCATCATTACTATAATTATCACAATCATCATCCATCACCATAACAATCAACATGACCATCACCATTCTCATCATCACCATCACCATTCTCATCATCACCATCACCATCATTATTACCATCATGACCAATATTATCACTTTTATCAGCATCCTATCATCATCATCACCATCATCATCATTGCCATCATCATCACCATCACCATCATATTACCATCATGACCATTACTATCACCTTTATCATTATCACCATTATTATCATCATCATCATCATCACCACCATCATCATTACCATCACCATCATATTACCATCATGACCATTACCATCACCTTTATCAGCATCACTATCATCATTATCACCATCATCATCATCATCTCCATAATCGTTAGCAACAACAACTCGCAAGATTTAGAGTCTTGTTATATCAGTTTTAGTAAGTAAGAAAGGACTGACAGATCATTACCTCCTCTTTTAACAAAAAGAAATGCATCACAAGTCGTTGTATGATTTCTGTCAACACTGATGGCGTGAAAAATGACATCTTAACCTATCGGAAAAAATATAAAAAGGTAAAAAAAAATGAAAAAAATAAATAGTGTATTTTGTACTTAGTAAGGAGGTACACCTTATTCAAATGCACAATGATAGTTTAAAAAAATAAGAAAAAAAAAAACAATGTCTTTATTCGCATTTAAAAAAATTACATATCAAATGTTTAGAAATTAGGAAAGATAATTTAATTTTTATCTATTTATTTCAATCTAAGGAAAATGATAGTTAAAGAACAATTTTGGGTTAAGGTTACTGTATAGGTTCGCAGGTGCCCTTCGATAAAACGTTTCTCCTCCGCTTCGTGCAGGAATATGGCTCCAAACCCACACTTGTAGCCCAATAACATTTTAAATATATTTCTAATTTTTAACACAAATTTCAAATGCTAACTAATTATTTTGTTATCTTCTAGAGTTCAGTGAAATATGCGGACAAGTTTAAAAGCTTTCCATGTCTAAGTTGTTCGCGCGTTTTTACCGTTAAAAGATTGAACTTCCAAGCATTCTTACGGCTAAACGAAGTCAGGGAATCCCATTTTTTATTTGCTTATTTTACTTCTAGTATGATGTACTTTCATTATCCAAAATTATTAAAAAAATCTAACGATGGTATCGTTTGCACAAGAACGTCCTTAAATCTAGGTGTCTATTTGAGTTAGTCACATACCTGATGAACTGCAATAGTTTCTTGTGGAGTACTTTCTGGAGTAGAGAAAAATAATCAGAAGTTATAAATGGAAGAGATGAAAGTTTCCATAATTTATCTATACACTCATTCATTCATCTATTCCCGCCTTCTCATTTGTCCATTTGCCCGTCAGTCCTTCCGTCCGTGCGTCCGTCCGTGCGTCCGTCCGTGCGTCCGTCCGTCCGTGCGTCCGTAAGTCCTTCCGTCTGTGCGTCCGTGCGTCCGTGCGTCCGTCCTTCCTTTGCAGTTTTCATCTTGCTATTCATTTATTCTCTCATCCAGCCATTTAGCATTTATCCATCCTACATCCATCCGTCCATTCATCGACACCATCTACTCATTCATCTCTCCTTCAATTCATTCACTTCTCCAGGATCTCTGGTTTTCCTCCCTCCGCAAAAAATTAACTAACTTAAACTCAATCTCTTGACAAGTGATCTAATCTTAATCCTAAAGGATCAGGTCAAACGTCGAACTACGCATGAGCCGAACCTAATTGAAAAATAAAATAAAAATCGGTCTTCTTTCGTGTCATTAGTTTCGGCTCATGTAAAGTTCGACGTTTGACCTTGTCTGAGTAACCACTTCTTACGTGAATGAGGTTGGATCTATTGCATAATTTCATCGTATCAATACCTTTAATTTCCTTGGGTGGACGGTAGACGTCACAGCGCAGAATGGCTCTCACAATGTTACAACACTGAACAAGAAACAACTCAAACCCAAGTCCTGAAGCAAGAAAAAAGTATACTCCATTAAACTAAACATTACATAAAGCGTATGTGAAACTTTGCAATGCCAACGATAACGTGAATAAATCGGCAAAATCTGTTAGCATAGCAAAACCTAAATCATAGTACAACGATAGCAATAATTTATTGTACCCAGAATTACAACTTAGATAATTATTTCCAAAATATGATTAATTAACACGTTTGACTATAGTGTATTATTCTGATACTTTGTCTTTTTCTCTGTTATTTTCCAATACATTTTTCATCGGTTATGCTTTGTCAGTTTTCGTTACTTCTCAGCTTCGGCTATCGTCAATACATCCCTCCCCCCTCTCRGTCCCCCACCCCTCCCCCCGGTCAGTTGTAGATTGTTTTCGTTATTATTCGCCTGTTTTCCGGTAGTTCTCGTTAGTTTTTAATAACTTTCCGTTGTAGCTGTCGTTTTCTTCCCGTTCTTACTCGTTTATTATCGTTAGCCCTTCGTTACGTTTCGTTATCCCATCGTTAATTTTCTTGAGCCCATCGTAAATTTTCGTTTGCCAATCGTTACGTTTCGTTACAATAGAATTTACCTGCTGCCTCTGAGTTAAATAAATAAGTGACACAGAACTCTAGACTCTTTTGCACCAATGGGATGAAAGACGATGGGTGGTGATCCAAGCTGTCCAAAAGCTATAGTTACCATGGAAACAAACATAAACATCATTTAGAATATTAGCAATTGGTTGCTGTTGATGATGGTGATGGTTATGAAGGTATTATATATGATGGTGGTGATGATGATGTTGATACTGATGCTGATAATGATAATGATGGTGATAAAGGTGATGATGATGGTGGTGATGATGATGGTGGTGATGATGATGGTGGTGATGATGATGGTGGTGATGATGATGGTGGTGATGATGATGGTGGTGA